CCTTTTTGGATTTATAAAATAAAAGTCAAAAATAATTGTTATTTTTTAATTTTACACAAAAATTACAAATACATTTTTTTCTCAAATTTGATTCTCGGTGTAAAAAGAAATCGACTGGTATATATCACTTAGTTGTAGAACATTTCGTTCATAGTGAATTTTTCAATGACAGTTTTCATCAATAACTGCTATATTCGGTCCCTGGCAAAAATGCAAAATTTCGCTAGATGTCGCCAACCGTAAGTGGTTTGAAATTTTTAGAAATCATTTCAGCTCTGACCAGAAATTTGGTAGGTAGATACAGTACGTTGCCTCGCGTTGAATGGCCTCTGTGATACAATGAAAATTTGAACGGAGACCATTACATATTCGAAGAAACGCCGGAAGCCGATTACGGAATAACGAATGCAGCTAATTTCAGAGGACGAGAGTTCCTCAGGTTTGATCAGTAAATGCGAGCCAAAATATTTCACCCAAGTCTCGCAAAAGCTGGGTGGTCTAATAGAGAGTGTTTAGGTGATGCCATCCCATCATTTTCTTGACAGCTGCGACTGGTCGAATCAGGGAAGAATACTAACCTTGACAATCGCAAAGTGGCCTGTTGGAACCCCTACCTGCTGCGAAAGCTGCGATTTTTCAGCAATATGAAACTCCTTTTCCTGCCTTCCATCCACAAGAAGCTGGAATGATCTTAAAATTGTGTTTGTGCTTGTTTTTTTGAAGCAGGTATCGCTGAGCTGCCAAAACACCCAATCGTTCAAGAGTGAATAAAAGAAGGTCAAAGATGCCATCAGTTGCTTCCGGTGATAGCATTTCATGGGTACCTTTTCTTGCCAAGTCGCCAGCCATGCTTCGCGGTTGAGTGGGTGGTCAGACACTCTCTGAACATTTTTGATTGCATCACCATAACATTCACGGCTCCAATAGCCGCTTGACAATAACAATAGATTTCCATCTGCCTCACTGACCCCACAGACCCCACTGTGTTCACTGCTTCAATAATGGCAGCTATTTCCGCCTGAAAGGGATTGCAGCTGTCCGGAAGCCTGAACTTCGTTTTGAAGTAGAGCCTCCGGCAGATGACTTCTGCACCAATCTTACTTTCAAGTTTTGATCCATCCGTGAGGAAATGTGGAAAGTTAAGAAGCTACTGGGAACTCTATTGGAGGCGCGGAAATCTGCATGATCAGAAATTAAATCAAAGACCTCCAGAACTACGGAGTAAGTTAAACAATTTTTGAGTCTGTTTTACCATGCCGTTACTTTTACAGATGTCTAAATAAGATGGTTGAGCAGTCTGCTCTTCACTTCGTTTAGGTGCCGGGGCATCGTAACATACCGGGCAACGAAAAGACAGACGAACTTGCAAGAGATGGCATGTCCGCTCCACTTTTGCACCCCAGGAAGGGTTTAGGCTTGCCGCTCGCTATTTGCAAGCTAATTCAATGGGATCTATCTCTTAAGCTAGCAAGGGCTAGTCTCACCACTTGCAGCAGTGCGACACTTAAGTGATCGAAACGTGACGGTTTCCTGATGATGAGAAGAGGATACTTAGCCGTAGATGTCGGTTTACTAACAGGCCATGTTCCGGAGAGTTTAGAGGTCCCCCATATGGATTCTGAGGAAGTTGCAGCAAAGAAGAAGAGCCGGAAACCTTGCGGCACCTGAAGAAGAAGGCGAAAGTTCATGAGTTCAGGATTTTTCGAGGACTTAGCCGAAAAAAGGCGTACGAAAACTTCTGTGTATCTTTGAGTAGAACGGTATCACAACGGACCCGTTAAACAAAATAGGCA